TGTGCTCTTGTCTTCTGCATTCTGTAATGTTGGGTGTTTAGAATTCAGACTTATTCTAGTGAAATGTTGGGAGAAATGCAAAAAGAGATGTTTGTGTGTTGCGTTTTAAGAAATTTGTATGTCTGTTATTATCTTTTCCTTCACAAATGAGGTGGGTGGAGACTTTGATCCCAGGTTTTTTTATGCTTTTAGTGTCATGTGTAGTCCCTCCTTTCCCTGAGTGCTTCTTCTCTCTTCATTAGGGGAGAGAAAATGCTACAATGCTTTGTTAGGTGCCCTTTTGTTGGGTTATGAGTGTCTTACTTGGAACATAATACTGGACTTTTTGATGATCTTTCTTTCACCTATCCATTCTGTGAGGCAGAATAATTTTTTAGGATGCCTCTTTGGCTCTGTTGTAAAGGCACTAGGATTTGTCCTTAATATCAACTGTTGTGCCATTTTCTGTTTTTTCTTCTTTTTTTTTTGCTCTTTTTATGGTTTAGGAGGATTCTGTATTCTCTGTTCTCGACCCTTCTCTTTTTTTGTTCTAAAAGTATTTCTTTACTTATCAAAGGGAAAATATGATTAGCTTATATGTTGTATTGCTTATGGGGTGGAAAATTTATAACTGTTTCAGTAAAAATGCAAGGTTGTTTTTAGATGTTCATTGAATTTATTGATCATTAGTATGTAATTTCATTAAGACAACTGCACTCTTGATTTTCATGAAGTAAGTGCCCTCTTATGTCATTACACGTTTGATTGTTTATAGCTACACAACCCACTCTGTAGGAAATTTGGTATGTTTTCTCTATCTTATTGTGAGCTGGTCGGCGTTGTATTTCGTCAAGATTGATACTAGAAGTTATTTAATGATATTTCCCACCTTTTCCAACTTGTTAATTTACCTATGTAGATATATGTGCTTTCATGTTATGGAAAACTTAACCTTTCTGGAGAGTGATAATTACTGGGTTATCTGGACTATGATATAAGTTTGTGAAATAATTTTTTTTTTACAATATTTCTGAAATGTTGTTAAGTTCCCATGGGTGTTTTTCTTGATGGTGCTTCAAATACTTATTGCACAGAAAGAGAAAGAAAAACCTGAGCTAGAAAAAGGTGCCATTAAGGCTGTCCAAGATCTCTATGATGTTGTGAGGCATGATGTGCTTTCAATAAATATGAGGTATGTCAGTCTTGCTACTTGTTGGTTTTGTGGATGCATGCTTTATCTTTTCTTTTCCCCAAAAAAATTGGAAAAATGTTCCAGGGAAAATTACGAAACATGGAATCTGTTATCAAAAGCAAGGACTGAAGGTCGTCTATTTGCAAAGTTAAAGTGGCCCAAAGATCGTGAATTGGTATTAAGGCCTATTTTCTTTCTTCTTTGTTCTTTCCCTCTGTTTTTCTTTTCTACATGAATGTCAGTAATGCAAATGTGCAGATAGAGCAGATAAAAAGGTTGTATTCTCTATTGACAATCAAAGATTCAGCTTCCAATGTTCCTAAGAATCTTGAGGCCAGACGAAGGCTGGAGTTCTTCACAAATTCTCTTTTCATGGATATGCCTGCAGCAAAGCCTGTACGCGAAATGTTATCCTTTAGGTCAGTCCTTTTTCTTGCAGAATTTGTTTTACATTTGAAGTTGTGGTACAAGCTGTTTGATCAATATACCTTTCTCATATCTTTTACATGTGTTTGCAGTGTGTTTACGCCATATTATTCTGAGATTGTTCTATATAGCATGGCTGAACTGACGAGGAAAAATGAAGATGGAATATCAATTTTGTTTTACCTTCAGAAAATATATCCAGGTAATTTCCCTTCATTTGGCTGAGTGGGCAGCTGAAAGTTACCATCTTCCAATGTTGCTTGTCTAGATCTGCTTGAGTGTTTGCATATTATATTGTTTTGTAACTGCTAGATTTTGCTTACTTGCATGGCCTTCTTCACTGTGACTTAGAATGATTTCACTAACTCTTTTGTGTCGTACATTGGTTGATTCTTGTTGTGCTTTGAGCTTTACTCATTATCATCATTCTTGTGTTGTGAATGTCGACGTGTACCATAACCTAGGTTGGCATTTCTGTCTTGGTTATGCACTAAGGCATATGGGTACTTTTCATGGATGTCTTTATCATATTAAAAAGTGATTTAAATGTTTATCACAAAAAAAAAAATTTAAAAGTGATTTAATTGCGTTGTCATATTGACAGTGATTTTATATTTATCCTTCTTCGTTTTTCTTTTGTTTTTGGTTGAAGAATTCCTTGTCTTCCTCCCCTGTACCTTGTCTTCTTCTGATATAATCTTTTTTTGAATAGTAAAATGAAAATCTAATCTGTTGTGTTATGTCATAGATGAATGGAAGAACTTCCTTGCACGAATTCATCGCAATGAAAATGAATTAGAGGAAGATTTCGATGAGAAAGAAATCCTTGAACTTCGATTTTGGGCCTCTTATCGTGGGCAAACACTTGCGAGGACTGGTAAGTCCTTTGTGTTATACCTATTTTGCTTTCAGGTTTTTGAAGGATTATTCCTGTTTACCTCAATTTCCCGTATTAAGCTTCAATCTACTTTATTTTTTCTTGTCAAGGGGAAAAAAATGAAAATTTCCTTTTAAATCCCTGTTGAAATGTTACAGCATACAACTGATTATGACATCTTTTTCTTGAACATAGAAAATAAGATACAAACTCATTTGCAAAGCTCCTCATGTGGTTTGGTGCTCTGAATCTATGGAATGGGTTATCATCAGTACTATAATTGGCAAGGAGAGTAACCCCAGAGTTGGTAAAATTAGAATCCGCAACTGCTGCTTAGTGTGACTCTAATCGAGACAACGAAAGCCTTTGGCTTTGCACCATTGGCAAATCCCTTGTATTAGTTATCTTGGGTGCTTCCATACTTTCAGACAGGTTTCCCTGGGGTCTTGTGGATTTCATTCTTTTACTTCCCTGGCCCCTATTTCGCAGCCATGTAGCTTCTTACCATGCCTTTTAGTATGGCTCGGCTTCCCATAATGATTACATTTTAAGTGATTCTTATTTTGGAAATCTTGTTTGCTCGCTTTTAGCTGTTTGTCAGGGATATTGGAAACCAACCCTGGTTTTCTATTGAGGCTATATGAATCATGGCACCTCTTCAACTTCCTTCTTCTTATACGTGTGAATAAGTGTGTATCAAAGAAGTGAAGATCCTTATTGGGTCTTTGGACCATAGGTATCTTGTTTTTTCTCCACCTCTTTACAGGAATAAGTGCTAAGAAATTACTAACATTTTGCATGGCTCAGTTTTTTTTGCCTTCATAAGGCTGGCAACTGCTTATAGTTTTTAGGATAGACTATAAACTCCAACATTTTTTAAGATGAAAAAGTATTTATAAACAGGCATCAAGGTATGCCAACCATGTATAAAGGACTAGAATACATAAAAAATCAAAAGGTCTAAATAATTCTGCAAATCCTCACAAGGTCAAATAGATGCTGTGCACACAAACTACTTAGGGTATAGAACTAGTGATCTTGTAGATGTAAATGCTTTAATACCAAGCCAAGACCATAGTTCACTTGTCATTAAACTCGAAGCAGCAAAATGTAAGTTGAGAAGGCCTAAAGTAGGAAGATCACTACTTCAAGATGGTTAGAGGATTCACAATCCTGAAGGCAAGAACAGAAGCAGTTGATAATGGTTTTCTCTTGCATTCTTAACTCGTCCATTATAAGAATTTTACCTCATGTTGTCATGGGGTCGCCTTACTTCTGAAACTGTGCTTCCAAGGGAATCTAAAAACCACTTCATTTTGGCTACAAAAATTCTTATATCTGGGCTTCACCAAAAAATCTCCCGCCTTTGGCTGTGGGCAAAACATGATTATCATCTCGTAAGGAATCGATTGAGCACCCATCGAATTTTTACTATAATGAAGATAGATGCACTTTTGTTTACAGCCGAAGAGAATAAAACCACGTAGGTAAAGGACTCTCTCCACACCAGTAGTCCTTGTGAGAACTTGTCTTGTGTCCTCTCCAACCTTGAACTTCACTAGTGTTAAAACAAAACTTTACTGCATACTAATCCATCTCCATAAGCTAGTTTTACAATACAAATCCTCCATCCCTACCATCCATACCATATTTAGTGCAAAATACTCCAGCTATTATTGGTCTCTGCAAAAGTAGAGGTGTTTAGTTATATTTCCTATTTGTATCAAGGGTAGTATTCATAATCTTATTAGGAGTAGCATTTTCCTACTATGTTTGGAAAAGACTTATTTAACATCAGTTAAGTATTTTTTGTAATCTCTTAAAGATTAATATTTGGTTATTCAATAATTTTCTAGCTATGTGATGCAATCAAAATCTTAACAATGTTTAAAAACTTACTGTATTTGCTTTACTTGTAGACTTATGTTCTGGATGTTCATCCCTTCAAGCCCCAAATAGCTATGAGTGTTGGCTATGATGGAAAATTGGTAGTTTGGGATAGATTGAGAATAGAAGGCCAAGAGGGATAGAAAGCAGATGTCACCGAACTATGAGCGGCATCGCCCATAGAGAGTGGGCATGGTAGTGGGGAGATGAAAATTTTGGGCGATGGAGCAGAAGACGATCGATATAGTTGCAGAAGGAAAGGGGATAAGGATTTTTGAGAATTGGAGGGGTTTTTGAAATTCGATTTTTCACCAAAAGGAAGAGGTGGAATGATTAAGGGGTTGCTTCAAGGAGTTTCGGTAGGAGAAAGGCTGGGAGACGTGGGGAAAGAGCTGACGAAGCAATTGGCGCATGTTATGGATGGCACTATTTAGGAATGGGGGTGGAAATTTTTTGGTGTTGGAGGTGAATAGTGAGAAGGGAGGCAGGAGTACCCAGATCTTTCTACCGGAGGAAACGAAGGCAGGCGTATGGTGGTAGATGATGGAGGTGATTTATGAGGTGGTTGGGATTCAGTTAGTGCCTTCAGACTAGGTGATGGAACGAAGATTGGAGGTGATAGAGGCAAAGCCGACCCCAATAAGCAACCTCTAGATTTCAATGCCAGCCATAGTTAGATGTCTTGGATACAATGTGGAGTTGGTGGTCCGATTGGAATAGAAAGTTTGTGAATCGTTCGCTGAAACCCTTAAACAATCAGTGCAGGCAACAAACCAGGTTGAGAAAAAGAAATTTTAACCCGCAAACAGAACTGGCTAGTTTGAAATCCAAAAGAGACAACAAATTCTGAAATCTTTTCAATAAAGAAAAAGTAGAACATGGGCTTAAGCGCAAAGGATCGGGCTTGAAAAGCAAGATGAAAAGGGGGTTGGAATCGGGCCAGAGATATATGTGGGTTGAAAAAAGAAAATGGGCGATGGGGGATGATCAGGCCGACCCATCTTGGAGGCCTATTCGTAATGCATGGAATATTAGGTGGAAGACGGGCTGTGATGGGCCCATTCAACAAGCTAGTGAAAATAAGAGGGGCTCAAGTCGTGGAGGGTCTAAGGGAACGGCTGGGGAAGGCCGAAACTGTAGTCGTGCCCTAACTTTTGAAAAACAGGATGAGGGAGACATGCAGAACGAGTCGTCGATGTTCTTCAGTAACAATCAAGGTGAAGGAGAGTTTCTTGAGACTGTGTGTAGTTTCTCGAAGCTGAGGGGAAGGAGGGGGGAAGGAGATGGAAGCTTTATATGTGAACAAGGTGATTCTTGAAACGGAGATAGTCGGGTGCGAGAGGGATAGAGCGATGAGATGGAATAAGGGAGGAGGAAGTTTGAAGAGTGTCGTGTTGTTGTTTGTGACGACTAGATGAATAGTGATGTACAATTTTTGAGTCACGAGATTGAAAAGCACGACTTATGTGAGGCTATACAAATGGTCGAGGCTTCACCAAAGGGGTATATGATGGAGGCTGTAGGGGATGATGATGAGAATCATTCGGAGTTGGCGTTGCAGGTTAGGGAAGAGTCTTTTGAGGAGGAGGTGGCATAAGAGTGGGGGAGCTGTTGGAATCGAGATGGGTGCTTGAGAATGTGCAGAAGGATTGTGCACTCAGAACTAGCTGAACGGCCTTCTCTCTGGCTTGTCTTCGTGCGGAATCGCGCACTGAAACAATAGATTTGGTTTCTGAAACGACGGATCTGGTTTCCTTCGCTCATTTCGCTTCCTCTGCTTACATCACCTTGCTGGCCGCACTCTGAACTGGTTGAAGGTTGATCCTGTCAACTTCCTCTGGCGTCGAGATGGGGTTAATCAACCCCACTTTTGCTCTGGTCTAATCTAACCCCTAAAACGCCAATCCTCTCTCTGATACTATGTAAAAGGTTAGGAAAAAGATATATGAATATTTCTTGTATTTCATTCAAATAGGGTTAGGAGTATATATACATAAAGACGAATTTATATATGGCAACTAACATAAATTATCCTATTAATTTTCTTCCTTATTATGCTAATATATTTGAAAAAATAATCATACTAATATATACAGAGAATGTTTTATAATATTCTAGCATATTTTTTTAAAAAAACGATGTTTAAAACTTCTTATATGTGATGTGTAAGAAACTTTAGCAGTATGTTTGGATGATGGGTAATTAACGTGCGGTATGATAATTTATGGTTTTGTTTTGTTTGGATCACTTTTAAAAAGATGGTATGGTTGTTTGGGTGATATTTGGTGATTAGATTATTTTTCCATTTTGTCAAGATTTTTCAAACCACCCATTCGGTAGTTTTTGATGGTTGAATATTTTTCTTACCGTTTTACCCTCATAAATATTTGTGAATTCCCCTTTTATTCTTAAAACCCAAATTTTGTTTTCTTCCCTGACCTACTTTTTTCTTCACCGCAATCGTTCTCTTCTCATCCGATTCCACTTCTTCGCTTCATGAGTTAGCTTCTGCTTGTTGCGATTCCCCTTCCTCATACTCAACTTGACAAAGCACACACCGATCGATTATTCCACCAATCTCATACTCCAAATTCGAGATTTGATTCAACGACAGTCCTCTCTTCTCCACCCCAATAAACTCGCTTAGAGCAATCAATTGTTCATAAGATAATTCATCTGGATCAGTCTCATCTTCTTTCTCAATATCATCCATATCTTCATCACTGTAATTGCTATCCAGAAACCCTAGCTCGTCGTCGAAATCGTAACATTGGAAGTATCCGTAGTAATTATCATTGCCTTGGCCAATTTCTTCTTCTTCATCTTCATCCTCAATTTCGCTTTCGATTGTGGCGAGCACTGACAGTGCCGTCTCTTGTTCTTGCATGTTATTAATGGCGAAATCTGAGTCCATCTGGTCCTTTCTGATTGGTGTTTGTTTGGTGAGGTCTAGGTTGTCCATGGAATCTTGGTGAAGCAAATCGTGGAACACAGAGTGAGAGAGGAATGATTGAAACATAAAGGAATACAAATGGATGTTTTCTTGCTGGTAAGTAACTTAGATGGGAAGAAAATGGTGATATTCCAGATTTAGAGATGGAAAGTAGTCAAGGTTTGATACTAGTCTTTTGCCTTTGGTGTAGCTATAGATAGAGAGATTGAAGGCTTCTTTCTGGACAAGGCAAAAACCATCTTG